TAAAGGAGGTAAGTGCTGAAGCAATAGCTATCAGGTGAAAGCAAAATACACCATCCAATAATAACTTCTTTGCCAAGAAGAGAACCAACAGGAAGGAAATATCGCAATCTAGCTTGAAAATTTAAAAAGAGAAATAAGGTTACCAAAAGAAATAAGCCATTCAGGTGACTTATTGTTCTAACCATTATATCATGTTTTAGTACTGTTTAGGTAACTGTGCACATATAATATGAAATTAGCACAATAGTGTAGTACAGTGAAGGAAGGTACGAAGCCTACTAATCATGATATATTTGTTTGGGAACGGTAACATTTTTTTTAATACTGGTGATAAGAAATCATGCTGTGACGTTTTTTCAAGCTACAAAATCATGCAATGGTTACAATATTTTTTCAGTTGGCTACAAAATAAAAATTGTTGCATGCTTGGAGACATTTTTTACCTGAATTTGTGGCGGCAACAATTTTGATTTAGTACAACGCTGTCAGTCATGTGGACTGAAAAAACAGCAGCCTATATGGCGTCTAAGAACGAACGGAGCCCGATTCTCCATAATCTAGAGCATGAAACTATACAGATGAAGCAGAGCATAAAATGAAAGATAGGGATAATGAAATTACAACCAGCACGAAGGAGAGAAGATGTGCAAAAAGATATAGGACTAATGCCAAGGTCTACCAAGAGCGACAGCATTAGAAGCCATAATGGGTTCTACGAAGGTCTCAATTGCCTAACAATGCACCAACTTGCTATGTTTAGCTGAGGTATATCTAAACCAAAGTATGGGCTGAGCTAAAACAACCACACATAATTAATTAGTTTTTTACATTAAAAGCTAGGCAAGTATACTTTTAGAATCCGCAACGATGTTGGCAAATAGCTGTGGAGGTGGCAACAGAACAAAAGGCGAAAAGTATGGATAGGAGATATGATAAAAACACTTTACCTTCTTTAAATGCAGAGGTGGTAGGCAACCTCTGTACAACCAGAAGAGCATGGCATCCACGTTACTGCTAGCTGGGAGGCAAGTTTCTTGCCTGGCTTTGCTGTACAACTAGAATGCATGTGAACCTAAATGAAGCCAAGAAAGGAAGCAAACTGAACACCTGGCTCCAATCCCTCATCCACCTCTGGTTTAGTACCTCAGAACAACAACCTGACACATGATTTGAGGGATGTACCTGAAAGTAGTGCAAAGAAAATCTCCGTATCACTATGAGTTTCCGTAGGATTGTACCCCCAATTAGGTAGGATCAATAGTTTTATTGCATAATACTATTACTGGTGTGTGGTAGAAGACATAAATATTTTCCTGTTATTATATAAACGTGGGTGACAAATAATTAACTGATTCATCCTATGACTCCAGCAGACTAATCTGAAAAAATTCACAATCAAATAGTAGTAGTTTATACTTTCCCAATTTCATATATGAGGACACCATGCGTAATCTGAAAAAATTCACAATCAAATAGTAGTAGTTTATACTTTCCCAATTTCATATATGAGGACACCATGTGCAGCTATCTTTGTTTTCATTTTATCGAAAAGGTAAAACGTGCCCAAAAACATACCTTCTAGGTCTGCGTCCTTAGGAAGCACTGTATATGAGGTTCTATGTAGGCGGCCTCTTTGAACACGAGCAACAGGGACTGGAACACAATTATCAATCGTCAAAAGAGAACCATTAAATACACAAATTGTTACTATCTACTTAAAGACCACAGGTTTGTCTCCGGAAGAGGATACAACGCGGTAGGTGCGGAGAAGAAAGGCAAGTATGAACCTGCAAGGGGCCAGCAGCGGAGGGGAGGCTGCTGCTGCGGGAAAACGAGATCCAGCTCGCGTTGACAGCCTCGACGGCATTGATCGCTTACCATGAAACATTCACAAAACAAGGTTCAGATTTAGGGGAGCAAACAAGATACTAATCTACACAAGAAATATGTCATAATCACCAGGCAAACCTATGACAAACGCATGCTCACCAGGTAACAAATTCGAAGAAGACTAAACTCTAAAGATCAAGCACAAATATAGTAGGGGAAGTGCCCATACTAATCCGTACCTGGTGGCTGGGCCTCTGGGCAGCAAGAGAGAGTCCAGGAGGGGATGACCCGCCGCCGCCGCGGAACCCCGAGTGGAGGGGTCAGCCACCGCCAGATCCGGCCGCCGGCGCCGCCGCCGGAGAGGAGGAGGCCATGCGCAGTCGGGGCCTCGAGCACAGGCTAGCAGACAAGCAGACACGGAGCGGCAAGAGGAGGCCGCGCCGGGGACCACCCGCGCCAGCGGTCAACGGCGGAGCCCGCCTGTGCCGCGCCAATGGCCAGTGACGCCTGCCGCCGGGGCCGAGATGCGGCGCTGTGGCACGTGCCGGGGCGCCACCGCCACCGCGGCGCGCGCTGCCATCCGGCGGCGTTGGCGCCCGGCCGGCACGCCGCTACGTCGGGTGAGAGGGAGAGGGAGAGGAGAGGAGAGGAAGGAAAGAGGGGGGCGGAGGCGACGGGGGCGACACCTGCAGAAGCAGACGCGTCGGGGGAGGAGAAGTATCGAGAAGAACTGTGTAGAAGTAGAAGCTGAAGCTGAAGGTGGTACAGGAAGAAGCCCCTTCCTACAGTTTCCGGGCAGCATCCACTTCTACAAAGAATCCTGCGGGAGCAATGGTAGCCATCGAATAGGGAGATCGAACGGCCAGGAAAATTTAAGCCGACGTGGCAGGTGCTTCTATTCAAGGAGCTATTGCATTCTGTGGGGTTAATAAATTGTAGTTCCATTCTGGAGGCTCTCTCCCGTAGAAGACGCGGAACACGAACCTAAAATAAGTGTTCAATATAATATAATAGAGGCTCTAATAGAGTATCTATATAAAAGACTCATTTTAAGGTAGAGAGGCATAATCCAAATATGAATATTCTTTCTTCTAAAGACTTATTTGTAGAAATGGTTGTCTTTTAGATCTTGTTGTTGGAGAAGACAAAAATAGATATTGAACTTTTTGTCTGTAGCGCTACCCAAAAAACGAATATATTTTATATTTTGGATCGTAGTTGTTAGAGACGATCTGAGGGGCTTTTCAATATTTTTACTCTAACATATCAATAGAGGAAAGAGCTAGCAACACATAGTCTAGTAAGTGAATTATTATTGTTCTAAATAGCAAACACTCATCACTTTTCATGCTGGCAATTGCATTAAATTCACAACCTACAATCACGTGCCGATGTGAGGATGAGATCCTCTCGGCTAGATGCCACAAAAGGAATATTATATGCTTCAACTATCAAATAAGAGGTTAACCATTACCCTACCCGCAAAATCTCACAAGTACTGCCTACACGAACACAAAATCTCGAAAATCGAAACTATGAAATGGCAAGATAGTGGATCTTGAAACGGAGAAAACAGGGGACAGGGGGCACTTAGTGTAGACGGACCTGGACTGACTTATTAATAGTACCTTTTTAGCAAAGAAATATTATTTTTTTCTCATAATAAATTAGCGAACAGTACAAGTATTTTTCAGTCTGACTTTTCAGCGAATGGAATAGGGCTTTGTAAATCCACAGTATTTATTTGAATATATTTTCATACTATTGCCCATCCAGGCCCGACTCAGCCCAAAAATACGTGATCGACGCATCCCGACTTGAACTGATTTGGATCTGACAAATGCTAAGGACTAATTTAGCAGGTGGTGGACCATGACTGGGCTTTGTTGCTATAGTAACCCTTTTGGGTCCACGGTGGACATATTGAAAACAATGGAAATTAATCGCAAGAGTTTATTTGATTGTGAGTAGATGAAAATGTGCACCATTGTACGACTGCCGAACAAACTCACTATGTCCCCAACGACATCATTCCACCATTATATTTCAAACAATGAAAAACAAGGCACGATTCCGCGCTCGCCTAGGCGCGCTTCAGCGCTGGGCGGAGGGGTAACGCCTCGCCTAGGGAGATAAGCGGAGAATAGGCGTCGTGCCACCAGATCCAGAGCCGCGCCGCCCGAGGGAGGGAGCTACGCCGCCGGATCCATTGTCGGGCCGCTTCCTCCGGGCCTCCCTCCTCCCAATCCCATCAGATGCGCATCCGTTTGAAGGAGAGGGAAGGAGTAGAAAGGAAAGGCGAGCCTTGGGTCGTGATGGCGTGGGGGCGAGGCGGAAAGCGCGGCAACGCACGAAGGTGAGCTCTGTTTGGTTTGCTCGCCTGCAACGGCCTCCACGAGAGAGAGAGAGGTCACGGAAAAAGAAGAGAAGAAGGTCACGGGAAAGAAGACGGACTGCTCGGGCTGTAGATGAGATGTGGATAAGACCGAGCGATTTTGCGACTTGCCCCTCCACTTTGTAAAAAATTTCAGCAAATTTTCTTGCTATGATTTCCTTTACTGATTTCTTACATTCTAGTCCCTAGAACTTCTATTTTTTCACAAGATACCACTTCTATTGCTGTAGGAACTTCTATTTATTCAGCATTTCAGCAACTACATTTATATATTTATTCAGCTATACATGTTGAATGCAAATTTATCAAAACGCCTAGAAAAACGCTTTGAAACGCCTAGGCCTGCCTAGGCGCTAGGCGATGGGTCACCGCCTAGAAACCGCCTAGCGCCTACAAAAACATTGATTTCAAACAAATACCAATCTCACGATGGATTCAGTAAATTGAACTATTGTTTGCCCAAAAAGCCCAGAACTATATGTTTACAGTCAACCAAACGATCGTCTTGACAATTTGATGAGTATGAGTACTCAACCAAATGGCGAGGGAGAGCCTTGCCACAAAATATAATAATAACACAAAATAATATCTTGGTCTCATACAAACTACATCGTACCAAAAAAGATATGATAAAAGAGCAGATGCTCAAGGTGTTTCTAATGGTAAATTCTGACAGATACTTGAGGCCCTGAGCAAGTTTATGATCAGCCTAGAAAAGAGAGGTTCCTTTGCCCTTCTTGTCGCCACCGATCTCAAAGTGCTTGCACCTCTTAAGTTAGAGGACAAAGTTAGCTTCACATACTTCGCCAGAATAAAATACAGATGAGGACACAAAATAACAAAGCATGGTGGTAAGGACCTTGATCGCGTGTTGAGAGTAGTGCTTGCAACTCTGGCACTGCAGCTTCAGCACAATCTTCTTTGTTGTTTTTGCCTGAAATAGACAGAAGAGTTGATGTTAGGAAGCAAGTAGATGAAGGAGCCACATTAAGAACTCCGAAAGCAGCCTTCAATATGTAATTGGTAATTCAAACAGTAGGGAAGTTGTGTTGAACCTTCTTGTGGAAAACAGGCTTTGTCTGACCACCATATCCAGACTGTTTGCGGTCATAACGACGCTTCCCTTGAGCTGAAAGGCTATCCTTACCTTTCTTGTACTGGGTAACCTTGTGCAGGGTGTGCTTCCTGCATTCCTTGTTCTTACAGTAGGTCTTCTTGGTTTTTGGAACGTTCACCTACAAAATATGTACAGCATAATTAATACACAAAGAATCGATATAAAAATAAACAGAGAAGTCATGCTAAATAAAGTAATATACGAACAAATTTAACAGTCCCTAAAATTATAATAATCCATCATGAGCTAATTTGAAATGAAACATCATAGGAAGCCCAAAAGAAGAATGACTAGCACTAAGTTGCACAAAAAGGTAGATTCATAGTGGAACAGAAACAAAGGACACCAAAAGGAGTATATATAGAATGCAGCTTTGTGAAAAATAATTCGCATCTTATAAATTCAATAATAGTTGTCACATAAGATTGACATAAGCGAAGTGAACTGAATCTTGCTAATTTGACAAATACCATATAACTTGCAATTCATGAACAAGGAACAATAAAGCTTGAAGTTGCCAACACAGTAGATAGAAAAAGAACTATAGTGCTGCTAAGAAACGCGCCAGTAAAAACAGGATATCAATTTCAATTCCTTCTCACAAGCACCCAAAAAATATCTGTAAGGTTAGCATGTAATCATGGAACAAAATCAACTCATGGCAGTATGAGATCTTGGTAAAGTCTTCTACTTTATGTCAGACGAGGAGTTCTCTACATGCTAGTTAGAAGCTTGCATTAATACACAAGACATTTTGTTGTTAATAAGATAGATAATGATCCTCGGAATGAGAGACAGAAGATGTGATTTAACATTGGTATGAAGACCTTGCACAGCATTGCACGAGTTCAAAAATTAAATTATGCCTCAGACAAACAATCTAGAAATAAAAAATGTGACAACTCATACAAAGTTAATACTCATTTTTTACCTTCTAACAACAAACTATTGTTCTAGTGGTTGCACTACTAGTCGGTTCCTTTGTCTCTTTATACTCAATTAGTACAAACTGAATCAGTCAAACAACACTGGTTTTTTGTTCCTATTACGAAATTAAGGTATAAAGGTTGACAAGCACCTGTTGCTAACTTGCAAAACAGTTACCAGGTTACTCAACAGTATTATTATATGTAGTCATTCATCAAGAAACGTTACCACTAATTGCAGTGAGACAGACAAATTGGTGTGCATCAATTGGCTCAAGCTTTATTCAAAACACTCTGGGTCTGTTTGGTTGCTTGCACAACTCCTTATCCAGGCTCCCACCATAATACAAATTGGCTTTGTTTGGTTATCTGTACAAGACTTTATACAGCATAGCACTCTCCTCAAAGCAAACTGAAACTGCATCCCGCTATACGCTCAAAATTGGCGTATCCAGCTATGCAGGTAGCCCCAGCACCCGCTCTGCAGGCCACATTCCATTCCTTGCAGCTGCTGTGCAAGCGCCTGTACCCGCTGTGGAGTGCCCCCACGCCCCTTCTCTCCGTAGCTCGTGCCAGCAGCTGACCCGCACGCCGCCTTCGCCAACGGGCTGCTGAAGAGCATGCCACCGCCACATGGGAGCACGCCGTCGCCGCCCCCGCCGCACGGGAGCACGTGGAGGAGCACGCTGCCACCACGACATCGTCACTGCACGGGCCGCCGAGGAGCACGCCGTCGCCGCACGGAAGCACGTGAAGCAGCACGCAGCCACCACACACAGGCCACCACACACGAGCAGCACGCAGCACGAAAGTGGCTTCGCTAGGCTAGTTAGTACTAGTAGCTAGCTCGAGTCGGTCCAAGGCTCTCTAATGTAGCGTAGGAGAACACCCATCTAGGGGTGATTCGTGAATTGGAGGCTCAGATGTAGAGTCTGAGAGAGATTCGGTGATCGAGAGACTGCGAGAGGGGGAGCTAGGAGACGGTACGGTCGTGAAATGATGAAACTGATATCACAAGCATGGATGGCCATATACATGTTATGCAACCAACCAAACACAGACGATTATGCATTCCAACATCTAATGCGGGTAACCAAACAGAGTTTTATGCTGTGCAAAGTAGAAACGCAAGACAACCAAACACTGCTTGAAAGCATAGGACTATGCTAGATTGGATATCTAATACTAGACTCTTATGCTGGCTACCACAATGCGAGCAACCAATCAGACCCTCTAGGTCGTTAACCCTCTATTAAACAGATGACCATAAGTCCATAACCATTTCCCTTGATATAGAAACCTCTATTTATACCCAAGCATGCATACGATCAGCAGATCAGCAAATATAATTATCTATTGTAAGACACGAACTGGACAGAATAACTGCTTGTAGTCTGGTTAATCGTAAACGTTTTTTTTAACTAACAGTGCACACTAAAACAGATGGAAATATGTACACGTTTATAGCCCAAACAACACAAAATTCACAATATACGACAGCGCGAGAAACCTGTTAAACTAAAATAGCACTGAGCGGAGAACATCGATCAAACCAAACCCTAGTTACATCAATGGAGCCGCAACGAAGGCCTCACTTACAAAACTGCTCTCCATCTCGAGCTGGCACCAGAATCAGACCAAAAAAAAAAGGAAGGAATCGCGACAGGGAGTATCCACAAGCGCAGACAGAACAGGACGGAACTTCTGCGTCCTGAGATCCAAAGCACAAGGGGAGGAGGAGAGGTGGGGGTCGCTAACCATGGCTGCCGCGTAGTGGCTTCCTCCGTGGCTCCGTCCGTGCGAGAGTCCTTGCGGCGGCGTGAGGTGGGATCCCAGAAAACCCTAGCACCGGAGCGATATATCAGAAGAGAGCCGGGCCTGCTGAGCTTAAGCGAGCTCATGGGCCTGTTCCTTGGTCTAATATTCGGCCTGTCATGTAGATTTGCAGCCTTTTTAGGCGCACCATAGATTTCTTCTCTGCGAAACTCAAAGTCCAAAAGAAAGACATTTCATCTTATATAACTAGATTCGTGCCCGTACATTGCTATGGATTTTAAAATCCACACAATCATATACATAATTCTATGTATTTTTCAGTTTATAGTTAACATATATAAAAGAAATGTTTGTGCATCATCTTCTTAAAAACGATTCGTGCACCAAACCAGACCTTCTCATTGGGCCACGTCGCCTGCTTCTCTCTCAACTGTCAGATCTCAAACCAACGGCATCAGGCACTGCAATGTGGCTCGCACTAAACCCCGGTTCCAATGCATTCGTGAAGACTCGGGAAGTTCCGGCCAGAAGAGAAAGCATCTTTTTATCCGGTTCCTCCTCTGTTCCCTTACCGCCGCCTCCTCACCGGCTACCGCCGCCACCAAACTGCATGGGCGCAGCCAGCGGCGCCCGTGGACAGCCCGCCACCCGCCTCGCAGCCCTCGAGCCGCCGCTCCCCCTCCTCCTCATAGGTGACGCTCATCCGATGGCCATCGTTGTTGGTAAAGAAGACACAGGTCCGCCGCCTCCCGTGCTTCCTTCCGCTGGATTTGGTGAAGCAGCGGATTGGGTCCAGAGAGGGGAGTCAGCAAAACACTCGCCCTGCTGCTGAGCAATGCCTGCACAGGATGTGCTTGATGAATTGCCCGTGAAAAGTACAGATGGCTAAAGAGTGTGAAAGGGCACGGTCAAGCAACAGGCAATCAGGCATGCGGACACGGCCATGAAGCTGCTCAGACGCCGCCACATCGTCGCCGGCTGCTCTTCCCCTGGCCGGATTCGGCAGTGCCGAGCGCGTGCTCTGCTCTGCTCCGGCGGGGAAGAAGAAAGGGAAGACCTCGTAGGAGCAAAGGGCGCACATTCGCACTATGGCGCCGCGAAGCACGGGCCGCGCGCATGGCCGGCGACGCGGGTCCGCGTGGCTTCGCAGCGTAGCCACGAGGACGGCCGGCGGCGCGGGGAGCTGCGGCACGGGGCACAGCCAGCACTCAGGAATTTATTTTGCATTTATTCAAGTCCTGCACATTACAATAAATAAAGAAATTTTGGTTAGAGTAACATGTGCAAGCATATATTTGAAAAAGGTATAGAATTATGTTATGGATCCAAGAAAATTAATTTTATAATATTTTGATCTATAGTTATTTTGTCCTATAATTTTCACAAGTTTCTGCGTGGATTAGTATCAATGTGCAAGCTCTTATTAGCTTGTACTGTTCATCCTCTTGTCGTGGCAGCAAAAGAATAGGTAGACACTGATACTCCTGCACATAAAGCAAAAGGGCCTTGTATTCGATCCCCCAACTATGCTCATTCATGAGTGCCCCCACCCATATTAGGGTCTGTATAGTTCTGTAGTCCATGGACTAAAGTTTTAGTTCACTTTAGTTCATGAACTAAAAGTGGACTAAAGTGGTGTTTGGTTTCTTGAACTAAAATAGACTAAAGTCATTAAATGATATGGAAGAAACTTCCTTTTACCCACTCTTTGATCCTGGAAGAGAGAAGACAATAAATGAGGGGCATGAGTGTCCCTAACACATTTTAGTCTATTTTAGTCCAGTTTTGTGGAGGTCTAAAGGACTTTAGTCCACTTTTAGTCCAAGTGTTTGGCTGTTTAGTCTAACTAAAGTGTAGATTTTAGTCCAAAATGCTTTAGTCCATAGGAACCAAACATCCCCTTACTATATGTGGTGCTATGTCAATTTGGATTGCTTCAATTTCAGTACTACTTATTCCAACAGAAATTTACCATGTATTTTCAGGAATCATCATGAAGAACTGATCCCAAATAAGTACTCCCTCTGTACCCGAAATTCTTGACGTCCTGGGCTTGCGTCTTGTTTTCGCAAAACCTGACGTTCTACGCTCCCTCGGCCACGCTCGGACGGGTTTACCCCTGGCGCTCGCGTCCGTTCCGCTTGCCACCGGACTCGGCATTAATTGCTCAATGCCTCGTTTCTCTTGGTCGCCACCCGTTCTCGGCTCTCGCGTACGAGTAAAGGCCGCTGCACGCGCCTCCCTTCCTCTCCGCAGCACCCGCCTCCCTTCCTGCTCACTTCCTCGCCGCCATCGTTTAGGGTTGGCCGCGCCGGCAGCGCGTTTAGGGTTCGCCGCCACACTCTCCTGCTCGCTCGAGGTCATGGAGTCCGTCAAGGCGCAGCACTCCATTGGCGCACTGGACTTGGAGGCCATGAAGTCCGTCGATGCGCTCGTCTCCGTCAACGCGCTGGACTCTGATGTGGCCATGGAGTCCGTCGATGTTGTGCCGGACTCCGTCGACGTCGTCGTGCTAGACTCCGTCAAGCTCGTGCCTTGTTCCAAATCAAGAGGGGTTGCTTTACGGCCACATCTACCTTTCTTTAGACTAGCAACCATGACCGGAATGTTTTGAGCAAGTTGGTTTTTACCTTGCTTCCATATGCGCTGAACTGATCGAATCTTTACTCCAAATTGACCGGCAACAATTGTTGTATCTTGCTTGCCTAGTTTCTCATTCTTGCTTGTCATCAACAATGCTTGGTACACTTTGTTTTCTAACATGTTCAGGATAGTCATGCTTCGGCGGGTGTACTTGAACGGGAGTCTCAACATCTTGTTCTAACATGTAAATATAGGAAAAAGAACAAGCTTATTCATAGTAAAATGTAGTCACGGCATGATCTAAATATAGGGAAAACAACAAGCTTATTCATAGTACTCACGGCATGATATAAATATAGGAATAAAACAAGCATTTTAATAGTACATAATCAAAATAATGGCCATGCTTACCAGCTAGGTTTTGTACGTAATCAAAATCAACAGCTCCAAATTCATCTAGTGGCAAGTTCAAATCGAATCCTATAAAAAAAGAAGAACATGCTCGTTTAGCGACAAGAGAAGAAGAACATGCAGCAGGAGAAAAAAAAAATGGTGTTTTACATGCACAAGACAAGAAGAGGTAGTACCGTTGCCATGCTCGTCATCTTTAGGCTCGTTCAAATCAAATCCAGCGTTGCCGTCGTCACCTTCATGCTCGTTGAGATCCAAGGGAAGGTTGCCGTCGTCATCATCCTCTAAACAGACGTTTAGATCAAAGCCGAAGCAAGACTTAGCCACTGTGCCGTAGATGTGGAAGGAGAAAAGCTAAGCCATGTGAGGAAGCAAGCTAGCACGGCAAGCAAGCAAGCAACGAAGTGAGGAGATGAGGCGTTTAAGCAAGCAAGCAAGCAAGGGTGGGGAAAGACTAAGTTTTATTACGCACCGTGGAACTCAAACGACGGAGCTGGCTAATGCTAAAATTAGAATCCCGTGGCGCCAACGCAAACAACGAAAAAATTGCGGTGCAACATGGCCGTAGCGCCAAGAAACGCGCTCAAACGCGCCCAAATGAGAAAACAAACGCGCCCAGCGACTTCTACGGCTCAGCACGCGCGCCACGACCAATCCTTTGCAAAAACTGACCTCAAAAACGCGCCACGCAGGGCCCAACAGTGCCATGCAAAAAATCCCATGCAAATGAAGCCCCCAGCAAAAACATTGTGGCCGCCAGGATTCGACCCCAGTTCGCCACTCTCACGCCTCAGTGCACTAGCCATCTGAGATGGATAACTTTCTCATATGAGATGCACGCGCAACCATATTTAATAGGGGCAGACAGGGAAAAATACCCCCTAATTAATCACTCCTTGGTAAGCACAATTATGCCCTAAACGTCAAGAAT